GAGGATGGAGAGAGGAAAGAGAGGAGGAAGGAGAGAGAAGGAAAGGAAGAAAAGAGACAGAGACAGAGAGACAGAGACAGAGCTAACAAGCATGCACAGAAGATCTACTTTGAGTAAGGCGAACAGGCCCTGCAGGGCTGGGCTGTCGAGAGATTTAGTAGCAAATGTCAGCCAGAAGTGTCTTGTCCAGAAGTGTGTGGGCATTTCAGAACAGCAGAGTATCTCTGAGGCACGCAGGGCAGGGCAGTAAGTGTGTCTGGCCACCTGCCCCCGTCCCTGAAATGTCTGGACTGAGAACAAGCTTGGCAGAACTTGAGGGAATAAAAGGAGCCTCAGGATGCCACGGGATTGATTTAGATGTCTCTTTCAGACAAGCAGCCACTTGACACGGGGCTTCAGTGTTTCCTTGATCAGTTTGCTTCTCAGCTCGCTCTAAATCATGAGTGGTCATACTGCATGCCTGCTCTCTGCTGGCCGGCTTCATGGGTGACTTTTTTGTTTTGTTTTTGTTTTTGTTTTTGTTTTTGTTTTTCGAGACAGGGTTTCTCTGTGTAGCTTTGCACCTTTCCTGGAACTCACTCTGTAGTCCAGGCTGGCCTCGAACTCACAGAGATCCGCCTGGCTCTGCTTCCCGAGTGCTGGAATTAAAGGTATGCACCACCACCGCCTGGTGCTTCATGGGTGACGTTACATGCAGGAACCTCATGATGTAGGCATGAATGCCCCCTTTTTACTCACAAGGGAACTGGGCCCCAGCCTTGATGTGCCCTTTGCCCAGGTCCACACAGAGCTAGGCTCCTGAGGGCTGTTTGTCTCACAGCAGTGTCCACATATTTTCCTCCACCCACAATACCTGCAAACATCATTCAGCACCTTGGGAGCTGAAACCAGGTCCCATGTCCCCCAAAGCTCGACAGTGAAGAATGACTGCGTGCATGCATTCATTCATCCTAAATAAATATTTATTGAGTACTCATTAAATATTTGCTGGCACCTGGGCACACAGTCATTAAATCATTGAGAAATGAAAGGGGGAGGGGGCCGACAGAAAGAGAAAATGAGAACGCCGTGAGAGGAAGAAGTTAACTGGACAGTGGGCTCCAGGCAGGGCCTGGGTGGAGGAGGGCAGTGGATGAACAGGAGAAGCCACGGGAGGTGGCCATGGCCTGTTGTTGCCTCTCTGGGCTCCGGTATTTGAAGAACTTTCCATTCATTGCCCTAGGTAATGTGGGGGCATGTCATTTTCAAAAGTCAAGTAACCAAGTCATTCCCTTCCCTGGTGTGGCCTTTCCATGATTTGAGTGAGTTCTGCCAGAAAGAAATGATGTTTTCCATGAGGGACAAACGGCTTTACCAGATTAATGCATGACGTTTGTTTAGTACTTACTGTGTGCAAGGTACCAGCACAGAGAATGTGGACCGACTGATTGGTTGGAGCAATCAAAAGAAATCTGAACGCAACTTTGAAAAATCCTGCATTCTAGGCCCTGTTTTGGCAGAACTTACAGGACGATTCTGCATCTGTTATTCCTTCTCTGGGGCCTTAAAGATGCTCATTATTCAAGGCTCACAGAACAGAAATAAAGCACATTTTTATGATAGTTCAGTTTGTCAAGCACCTTAAGGCCTTACCCACTCTTCTGACTCCCACAACACTAATGAACCAGTACGCTTTCCCATTTAGCAGATTAAAAATTGAAACTCGGAGAGAGAGAGTGTGAGACTAACCAGGGTCACCCTGTTCCTAACAGAATTGGAGCTGGAGCTCACAAAAATGTCCAGTGTTCCTTTCTTTATTATAGCTGCCGCTCAGTTTTTAGGAGGCACTTCTGCGGGGCACAGTTTCCCCTTTATTAGAGATCCCTGCCTTACTGGAGTGGGAGGTAGGGAAGCCTGGGATACTTCCAATGCCTGAGATCCTAATACAAAGCCAGTTCAGCTTTCGTGGGTATGGTGAGCCTGGGGAAGCCATCTCTAGGGGGAACAATTACCAATTCATGAAAGGGATAACTTGGGGCGTCACTGGCTTTTTAATATGATCTTGTGTTACTGTAATAATTCAGTTTGGCACAGGGGTGTGGCACTGTGAAACACCTAGAGCCACTGAGTGACATGGGGGTACATGCGAGTGTGTCAAGGACAGGCTGGGAGGCCTCCTGCAGCATTACAGAGGTCGGCAGCTGCTGCTTGGGACAGTGCCACAGCTCTCCAAATGTGTAAGTCTCTCTCTGCCAGATAGGCACTGACTGTAAGTCTCCGGGGAATGGAATGACTCCATTCTGTGTTTGGAGGGGTAACAAGGAGTGGCGTCAGAAGACCCACCCACAGTGGCCCTCCCAAGGCTTTGAGTATGCCAATGGTCATGCAAAACATCACACACTCACGATGGCTTCGTCAAGATGGAAGGTGGGTAAATACTGGTAGATTTTTTTTCTTCCCTGCATTATATGGTGACTGGTTGGATCTAGAGGAACGGATATGGACAAAATAATTGATCTACAATGGAGAACAGGGTGTGGGGCCTCTCCATCCTGCTAGGTCAGCCACCAAAGAGCTGCCCCAGGTTTCTATGTTTTGTGGGGAAATGCTAAAGGTGTCAGAATATGGCAGTACACAATTATTAACACTACTCGAGAGCCTTCGGGTTCAAGGTTTGATCTTTTTAAGGCAACAAGTTTTGTTGTTGTTTTGGTTTTGTTGTTGTTGTTTTGTTTTGTTTTTTGTTCATGTTTTGTTTTGAGACGGGGTTTCACTATGTAGCCATGGCTGTCCTGGAACTCGCTCTGTAGACCAGGCTGGCCTTGAACTCACAGAGATCCATCTGCCTTTGCCTCCTGAGTGCTGGGATTAAAGGCGTGGGCCACCACAACAGGCAAGTTTTTCTTTAAGTTTTATTGTAGCTACTTTTCTTGTCATTGTGCCCTAACATCTGGTAGAAGCAGTTTACTCTGGCTCACGGTTCAGAGGACACCGGTCCGTCACGGTAGAGAAGCACAGGATAGACTCCATTCGTAGCTGCTTCTGAACACGACAGCAGGCAGGAAGCAGAGAGCTAGGACCAGAAGGAGGCGGGGCTACCACCCTGAAGACCCCATTGACTCACTTCCTCCAGCTAGGCTCTGCCTCTTAAAGGTTCCACAACCTTCCAAAACAGTACCACCAACTAAAGACCGAGTGTTCAAACCCTTGGGGCTGTGGGGGACATTTCAAATCCAAGCCATAACAATTACAAAAGCTAAGGCTCCAGATCATTTTTTATTTTTTTATTTTTTGAGACAGGATCTCTCTACACAGCCCTGGCTGTCCTGGAACTCACTCTGTAGCCCAGGCTGGTCTCGAACTCACAGAGATCCACCTGCCTCTGCCTCCCAAGTATGGGACTAAAGACATGTGCTACCACGCCCTACCCAAGAGATAATTTACTTCCAGACCTTTGCTGTTTTGTCTACCACCACCCAGAACGATCCATGCTAGTGCCCAGGGAAAATGTGGACTCTACAAAGTCTTTGGGTCCCAGGCAGGCTTGGAAGGAGCTGTCTGACCTGGGACCCAGAGGACTCTGTTTCGTATCTCCAGAGTTTTAAGCTTCTGATGCATTCAGGGCTGAATAGCTCCAGGCTACCCAGTTCCTTGGCACGGGCTCCCCTTTGCCAAGCCCCTGAGCATCTGCAGCCAGAGACAACGAGGCCAGCACTTGCTGAGAGGCGCTGGCACACCAGACCCCATGTTACCTGCCGTGTGTGTCAACCTGACACCGTGATCTCATCACCTTGATTGGCAATATGAAGTGTCTGCTGTTAGCCACGGTTTACAGAACCTAGATGCCCAGTTGGTCTCCCCAGAAGGTGGCAGAAAGCAATGGAGTCAGAAGCTAACTCTGCTTGCTCAACATCCTGAGCCAGGCGGTCCGGACGCAGGCTGCCCTGTTCCCACCAGAAGAGGACTGGTTCCTCCCGTACTCCAGGCGGAACAATCCCATTAACGCAGTCTGAGGTGTGTAGCGTTGTTGACACAGAATCAGGAGGAGTGAAATTAAACACCCACTGTGTTCCAGACCTTGTGTTAGGTCTGTGTCTTAGGTCTTTGGGGATATAACGCCTAGAACCAAATCGTGCTGGATTAGTTAAACCGTTTGGGGGTCAATTTCACCTTTCTGAATCTTAGTCATATCTATAAAATGAGTGTAACAGTGGGACAAATACTTCATCATAGTTATTGTGAGGATTACATGATATAATAAGAGCATGGTTTTCAATAATTTCAACATTATCACATATTCTTCATCATTAGAGTATACTAAATGTCCTTCTTGTAACACAATTCTTAAAAGGTCTTATTAAAACAAAACAAAACAAAACAAAACCTGGAGCCAGACATTGGGGTGAAAGCTGAAAGATCAGAGAAACAGAACAAGCCAGTCATGTTCTTACCTTTATGAAATCCTCAGCCTCAAGAGAGAGAGTTTCTGTCTTGTCACAACTTACATACCTTTCTGTGTCCTGCCATATTACTTCCTGGGATTAAAGGCGTGTGTGTTTCCCAAGCAAAGGCATGAGATCTCAAGTGTTGGGATTAAAGGTGTGTGCCACCACTGCCTGGCTCTGTTCCCAGTGTGGCCCTGAACTCACAGAGATCCAGATGGATTTCTGCCTCCCGAGTGATAGGATTAAAGGCGCGTGTGCCACCACTGCCTGACCTCTATGTCCAATTTAGTGGCTGGCTCTGCCCTCTGATCCCCAGGTAAGCTTTATCGGGGTGCACAACATATCACCACGCTCCACATATCTTTTAACAACAAAGTGTATAATTCTGTCTAAAATACACCCCATATCTTCCTCTCATTGTTTTCAGAGCAAATCCTGTCTGTCTTTTTGAAAACAGGATTGCATTTTTCACTTCTCAGCATCAGCCCCTTTTCATAACTCTCCAAAACCATCACTTTGCTTTAGCGAGGTCATTAGGGCCTTCCACAGTCTTGAGCAACATCCCCTCCCAATTCAGGGCAAGTAGTCAGTGGTTCACTCACTCACTCGTCCTGTATTATTTAGCATTCACTATGTGTCATATTGTGCATTATTTAGCACCTGCTGTGTGAGGTGACCTAGAGGGCACAGGTGTAAGATTATTTAAAGGTGCCATGTTGTTCTCAAAGAGTGCACAGACTAGGGGGAAGACAGACACTAGGCAAAGAGTGTTACATACACAAAAAACATCGTCTCCAAGGAAGTGTGGCGACCAGAGAAAAGGGGAGAACTTTCTGGTTGGGCACTACTACAGCTTGGCTATTGTTGGGCATGCCTTTCCCATGAAGGGTGTTGGGAGGGTCCGGGTTCTTGTTCTGCTTGGCTCCGACTCCTGATGTCACTGCCATGCTCTCCTGACTGTCACCTTGCACAGACCCGAAGTAGTGGGGCTGATTGAGCCCAGAGCTAAAACACTCAAAATTGCTAGGCAAGCAAACCGTCTCTTTATAGAACTTGTTGGGTTATTTTGTTACGGTGACAGGAAGCTGACTAACGCTGGCATGGGGAGGCATGGGAAAGGAAACAGGACACCTGATTTAACCTTTCTGGACGACTTTGTTGACCTTTGCACTAGGAGTCTCTCAAGAGTGGGTGTGGTTCGATGGGTCCAGGCAGAGAAAGGGGAAACCTGCAGGACAGTATCTGTCAATCTGGTTGGAGCTTACACGTGTAGGTGACAGGAATGTGAGCTAATTCAGACGGTGCCAGAGTAGAACCGGATGGGACATCGGGCACCGTTGTATTTCATGGGATCCCAAAACAGGTGTGAGCGGGGCCAGCCCAGATGTGCCCTGCTAATCAGAAGAGGTAGAGACTAGAAGGAGGATGATAGGGCAAAGGTCACTGAGAGAGAGAAGGATGAGAATGGGGTTTGCACAAGAAATGGCCGGACCAGCAGCTTATAGCCTGAGCTTCCGAGCTCCCAGCCGAGGTCTGCCCTGCAGGTCCTCGCTCGCTCGCTCCTGCTGCGTTCCCGTGGACCTCACGTCCAGTCTCAGAGCTGGGAAGCAAAGGGGCCGACTGCAGAGTCACGTGGCCTCCTCGGCCTCCGTCCCCCTTGAGCGTGCTTGTTCTGGCTTCCTAGAGTGGCTGCGCAGGTGAGGGCTGCTAGGCAGTGGCCAGCAGTTGCCCCTCCAGCCTGGCAAGCCACCCTGCCCCTGGCAAGTCACCCTGCCCCTCCACGGCTCTAGCCACATTCCCAGCGGTGGCGGGGGCAGCAGGCGGGTTTCCTTTTGTGGAGCCTCACCAATCAAATCAGTCCTGTTTGCTTTGACATCACAAGTCTTCCTGAAGCGAAGGATGCCAAAACAAAGAAACAGATCAGTGGGGCAAGAGGGTAAAGTCCGACAACCCAGAAGAATGTTCTTTTATGGTGAAGGTGACTTTTATAAATTCCACCAGCGGGCCTGGGGGCAGAGGGACTGCTTAAGAAGAAATAACGTCTGTTTCTACCTCACTTTCTGGACCAACATTAATGCCCGGAGGTCTCAGTGGGATGGAGGTAGGGGGTATATAAATGTGAGCATGGGGAAAGGTAGGCATTGTTAGCGTGATTTGGGGCGAGAAAGCCTTACCTTTCTTCATGTGACAGGGAGGCAGTTAACAACAGGACTCCTAAACTTGACCGTACAAACGGTAAAAGCTCTGTGTCCCCAAACACCGTGGTTATTTTCCTTCCTCGAGTGTCCCTGGAAGGAAAGGGAAGTCACTTACAATCATCTCAACAAAGGGGGTGAAGCCATGATGGAAAGAAAAGAAGGGAACTCATCAGCGACGCTTTAGGAGGCCAGTGGTGTCACAGGCTGGAGTAGTGACCATGAGGGAAGAGACCCTAAGAGCTGTCGCCAAGAGGGCCATGACCCTGCCCTGTTCCCCATGGGGAGAAGTTTGGGGGACGCTGCTAGTCTCCCTGTCCCTGCCGTCCAGTGTCCTGAAGGGAAGGAAACAAAGATATCATGTCACTTGGCCCTTTGTGCAGCTTAGAGCTGATGGTCTGCCGAACGGGCCGGAAGGAGGGGATCTATTCCTTCTAGACAGGGCATGTGGCCTCGGATGGAGCCTTCAGGACCTTCCCAGGAGTTGCCTTTCCTGTTCTGTCTTTCCTGCCTGTGTCACAAAGGAGGGACTCAGAGCCACACTGCCTTCCATAGCCAGTGGCTGCACGCCAGGCCCCAGTGCCCACAAGAAACATGATTCCACCCGATCTAAGGAACAGTAGGGCCGCCAGCCTCACAGAGGCGCTTGAAAAGTGGCTGGAAGCCTTGAGGCTCCCTGGTGCCAAGGGAGCTCTTTCTTACTCACTGTCCCTCAGGAGATCAGGGAGGCGTCCCAGCAGTCCCTGCAAATGGTAAACTCCATTTATAGCCCCCTTTCTACACCCAGGCTGCCATCCGAGGAGTAGCAGTCTCAGGGTGGGTCCCTGGATGCTGCAGTGACCTCTGTAGCCAATTCACTCATAGCCATGGTTCTCAGAATCAAGTAGAGACTTTTAAGGATGATAGAAAGATGGGGCTAATGTGGCTTCTGGGAAGAGAACACATACCTGGGGTCATCTGAAAAATGACCCACAGAGTCTACAAGGCTGACAGAAGGGGTGAGCCCCTGGGGAGAGGACCCCTCCTATGGGAAGGAGGAGCAAATCCCACAAAGACTCATTGCTGGAGGTCATGAAGGACCCTGACGGGTATCTGGGATTCTGACTTGGGCCCCTGCACAGGCCCTGGAGATCCATGCCTGAGCTCCATGAAGAGCTGAAACCCAAAGATCACAGAGTCTGTCAGTAATGGGTCCTGGTGCAGAATCAGAAGAACTGATTCTGGCTTCTCAAGCCAAAGTGGAATAGTGCAAAAGGATAATCACGTGACTCACACCATGGCCAGTTGAACTACAGAACTGATGGAAATGGAAGGTCACTGTACAGTTGAGCACAGCAACAGAACCATTCAGGAGAAAAGGATGCTACTTCCCATGCCATGCCGAGCAGGTCAGTACACATGCCTAATAACACCCATCTCAAACACTGGGTGTTGCTGGTACCACTGTCACCATGACCACCATCACCCTTCGTGGCCACTGCTCCCACCATCAACATCACCCAATCAAACACTACAGCCTGCAACAATTTGAACCAGAACTTACGGTCTCTGGGCTTCAATCTCCTCTTCCACAATGACAGTCCAAAGTAGCTAAGGGTTGAGCTTACCAACCAACAGTGACCAAGAGTGTCTCCAGATCTTGCCAAATACACCAAGGGAACAGAATTGTCTCGGGGACTACTGTTGTTCTACACCATCCTGTTTCCCACCTTCCACAGCCACCAAATTGCGTGAGGTGGGTGGAGGACTTTTCTGGATTCCATCCTCCCATGGCTTAGACCGTCCCTCTTGAGAGGCGGGGTTCCTGCAGGAACATGAAGAGGGCCATCTTACGTAGCCCAAGATCGGCTTCTCTTGGCCCTGAACAGCCTCATCCACTGTATAAAATCTCTCTTACTTCCCCACACGTCACTCATTCCCTTTCCTCTTCCCCTGGGTTCTCAGCGGCTCCTTTCAGGTGCTCAGTGCCTCATCTGATGCTATGTGTGTTTTGTACTGTGCGCACACACACATACACACAGATACATATACACACATATATACACACACATACACAGAGACACATACACACCCATATACACACACACATACACACAGACACATATACACCCATATACACACACACATACACAGAGACACATACACACATATACACATACACACAGACACATATACACCCATATACACATACACATACACAGAGACACATACACACATATACACACACATACACACACATACACATAGAGACACATACACACACATACACACAGAGACACATACACACACATACATACACAGACACACATACATACACACTGAGACACATATACACACATACATACACAGACACACATACATACACACTGAGACACATACACACACATACATACACAGACACACATACATACACACAGAGACACATACATGCCACGGACTGGCCCACCGGGAGTACCATGACCGTAGGAGAATCAGGGCTTGGGTAGTCAGGAAGGCAAGGATTCGGTGAATGACAGACAACACACTCAAAAGTGGTTTGAATCTGCTGCAACTTTACTTCTGCAAATCAGTAGTTTATATACAGAAAAGAAAACTATCAAGTCATACAGGGAACAAGAGCTTGGCAATAATTCAATTACATTACACACACACACACACACACACACACACACACACACACACACACACACACAGAGTCTGGATGCTCACTACTATGTTCACCCGCTTAGTATTTGAAACGTTCTTCATGGCTGATTCTCTTAGGCATAGAATAATATTTCCTTGTGTCTTTTTCTCTTTCTCCCCCTACCTCTTCTTCCCCTTTTCCTTCTCTTCCTTCTTCCTCTCCTCTTCCTCCTAAAAGACAGCACAAAGCAGGAAGCTGGTGCCGTTTACAAAGAGCTCTCTACTGGGCCCTTCAGTATTCATTTACACTTTGGCACTGAATTCCCCTTTAACAAGAAAGAGCCTATGATATTCTGAAGGGCAACTCCAGCCAAGAAGAGGGGAAATTAGGAGCTTTGGCCTCCAAAGTGTGTGTGCGCTGCTAAGTTCTGTTATATAATTATGGCTCAGGTTGAGGGAAGAGAGGCCATGATGCATGGTCCCCTTGGTCTTTGTCTTAGTCAGGGTTTCTCTATTTCTGTGAAGAGACTCCATGACCACGAAGACTCTTAGAAAGGAAAACATTTAACGGGGGTTGCTGACTTATAGTTCGCAGGTTCAGTCCATCAACATCATGACGGGACATGGCGGCACACAGGCAGACATGGTGCTGGAGAAGGAGCTGAGAGTCCTACATCTTGCATGCAACAGGAAGTGGACTGAATGTCACACTGAGTGAAGCTTGAGCATAGGAGACCTCAAAGCCACCCCCACAGTGACACATTTCCTCCAACAAGGCCACATCTCCTAACAGTGCCACTTTTTTGAGGGGTCATTTTTTTTCAAATCACCCCAGTCTTATTTGGGGCTTTATGATCCAGCCTTGTCAGCTCTTTGCCTTCCCTTTGAAATCACCCTTCTTTTTTCGTCTGCACCCTCCCGCTTCCTTCTCCTGCTGGGCCATGGGCTCCATGGAGAATATTAGTACAGTGAATTGTTCTGAGAGTAACCCCACTTGAATGTTCTGATATTAGGGGCCGCCCAAAGCACTCTGATGATCACTACCACCCTTGTAGATGAGGAAGGTGGGGCTTACACCCGATTATCAATAGAGTCTGGACCAGAAGTAGCATATGGTGCCAAGAAATCTCTGGGTGCAACACAGCCCTCACCTCAGGCCCTGAACATGAACCCCCATCATTGTTGCCACGTTCAGGTTCATGCTTTCTTTTGCTCTTACATATGTGGGCATCATCTGAGCATTCACTTGGGCTCTGCCACAGCCTGACAGGATTTTCCCTCTCTCTGTCAGTGAAACCTATCAGTGGAAAATGCCAAGAAGTTCTGAGCTGCCCTGGGAAAGAGTGAGTGGGCCAAGTGGGGGGGGGGCTGCAGGTGTCCACGGGCTCCCCCTTTTAAGAAACGGCCTTTGGGTTAGTCAGGGCTGGGCCCTTCTGAGATGGGTTGCATCCGTGTGTGTGCATGGGGCAGAGAAGCGAAGTGTAGGCTCTTTCACATCGCTTCTTCTCTAGCTTGTAAGCAATTCCGGATTAAAGTTCACATTCTCTTGGAAATCCCAGAAAAACTAAACTTTAAAGGAAGTTTTCATGAAATGATGGAGGAGCTGAACCCACAACCCTGGCCTCCGGATACCTCTCACAGAAGGTGAAAGGAGGCGGTTTTGAATGACCAAAAGGTTAGATCAGTGCTTCTTCCCTTCAGTACTTCTCAGCCACCTGGGGACCACCTGGGGACTCTGAACAAATCCTGAGGCCTGGGCTGTGGCCCCCTGATGTGGTCAGGCCATGGTGCACAGGGCCACTGGCCCTAGATCTAGATCAGCCACCTGGAGCTCTGAAAAGCAATTTTAAGTTTTGAGCTGAAAAGTCGCCATCACCTTACTCCTGATGATTAATAAGATTCAGAGGAAAAAAATTATCTGCTGAAAGTCAGAGGTAAAAATGTTCTACCATTGGTGGATGAATGTAAAAAGAAAAAGGCTCTGATTTGCTCGAAGTCATCCTTCAGGGTGGGTTTTTTCCTTCTTCTTGCCGCTGCGAGAGTGCTAAAGCCTTCTGAAATGAATTAGGTCCTAGCAGTAAAGGTTGATTAAATGCAGGACCTAGGGAGGAGCAGTCGGAATTGAAAACCAGAAGGCTGCGGTTGCCTTGCCTCTTGAGCGGTTTCTATATTTCTCCCAGATACCTCTGCAGCAGTATTGAACTCATTTATCCTCACCACCCCTCCCTCGCTGCCTTAACCCAGGCCTGGCATCTTCCTGCTGCCTTGTTAACAGTCCCCTGACTAATCTCTCTGCCACTGGCCTTCTGCTTCTCCCATCATTCTTTGCGTTATGTCCCGCGAGAGAGTTCTAGAACAGGCATTTGGTCATGTCACGCTCCAGCTTACCCCACCCCCCACCCCCGCACCCATTGAGTTTGATTTCCTCACCGCATTTAAAATAAAATGTGAACTTCCCAGTAGAAGGTATAAAACCATTGGCTGTCAGTACCTCCTCTCTTGCCCTCAGACCTCAGTCGCCGCTGTAAGTCCTCAACCCTCCATGCTCTATGTGCCAAAGCCAAGTAGAATAGCTCACAGTTCCCAGTCAAGTTGTGGTCTCTCATGTCCCTGCATCATCGTTTGGAGGGCTGTCCCACAGGTGTCTCTCTCGGGGAGTTCCTTTGAAGCCCATTTTGGGCTGATGGCTTCCTGCCTGCTCCCATGGTGCCCCGGCAGAGACCTAGCCACTGTTCTCGTCACACCGTGTTTTGAGCATTTGTTGACTTGACTATACGACACTGTGACCTCTTAACATCACCTCAGAACCCAGCCCACCACCCGCCCACAGGCGGTTTTACATAAACGGAGCCAAGAGCACCCCCCCACACACACTGCCTTTCATCAACGCTGGCGACTGGAGTAGTTAGTTTGCATGGGCCCAAGAAAACAAATCTTTGTCCTACATGGTCTCTCATTTCCCCCAAGGTTAATAAAATGCCATGGAAAAGTACCACTGTCAGCTGGGGGTGTTGCCTTTTATACCATGACACTCAAGGCGCCAGAGGGCAAATCTCATGCTTCCGCACCCCTCCGCGATCCACACTATCTGGGGCAGGTGCTCAGGAAATGTCCAGTTCTCAATTATGTTGAACTGTTTTGGGACACATTCTAAAATGTTTTCTTTAAAGCCAAAATTTAAAAGTCTCACCTTTTATTGAAGATGCTTGGTACATTAAGTACTGTACCAACACTCACCATCACACCAGCCCCTTGGAGGTGTTCACCTGTAAAAACACAAAACAAAACCGGGTGGTGGTGGCGCACGCCTTTAATCCCAGCACTCGGGAGGCAGAGCCAGGCGGATCTCTGTGAGTTCGAGGCCAGCCTGGTCTACCAAGTGAGTTCCAGGAAAGGTGCAAAACTACACAGAGAAACCCTGTTGTGGTGGTAATCTAATTGTACTGAATTATTATTTTGATTGTATGTTAATAAATAAAGTTGTCCGGGGGTCAGAGCTATTAGAGCCATAGCAAGAGTGTGGTGGTGGTGGCACATGCCTTTAATCCCATAGATATCTGTGTGTTCAGGATCAGAGCTATTAGAGTCATAGCAAAAGTGTGGCGGTGGTGGCACACGCCTTTAATCCCATAAGATCTCTGTGTGTTCAGGGATATAGCCAGCATTAGAGACATATGCCTTTAAGACCTAGGGGGCTGTACATTCAGACAGTGACGAGGCAGTCATGTGTTTGGGTTTACAACCAATGAGAAGGCAGAACAACA